TACAAATCGAACCATTCTCAACATGGTGAGATGTTTGCTTGAAGAAAAGAAGATGCCCCATATGTTCTGGCCAGATGCTGTGAAATGGACCTGTCATATCTTGAACCGAAGCCCCGCTGCTTCACTGGAAAATAAAACTCCAGAAGAATGTTGGAGTGGGCATAAACCTAATGTTGACTACTTCAGGATCTTTGGATGCATTGGAAATGTTCACATACCTGATGCAAAAAGAAAGAAGCTGGATGTAAAGAGCCAAAAGCAAGTGTTGATTGGATATAGCGATGAGTCCAAAGGATACAAGTTGATTGATCCTTATACTAAGAAGGTAACAATCAACAGGGATGTGGTTTTTGAAGAGCAAGAAAGCTGGAACTGGGCACACACGATGAAAGGACATGAGCATGATATTCTTGATTGGGGTGAAGCTTATGAAGAAACTTACAATCAAGGGGAAGAAAATGAAAGTGAAACTGATGAAACTCTCTCAAATGAAGGAGATGCAGATGGAAACACCAGCCTTAGTGATACATCAGCAACATCACAACATCACTCAGATGGAAACACTTCTGAACCACGAGCTCGAAGAAGAAGAACTCCAGCTTACTTAGAAGACTACACCAGTGGAGAAGGGATCTCAGAAGATGAGGTACACCAAAATCTTGTTCTTTTTATATCTACTGATGATCCATTGTCTTATGAACAAGCAGTAAAATCAAGAAAATGGAGAGAAGCAATGGATCTTGAAAATTGAAGCAATTGAAAGAAATAACACATGGAGACTAGTGAGTGCTCCCCCTGGAGTGAAGGTGATAGGAGTTAAGTGGGTCTACCGAACTAAGTTAAAAGAGAATGGAGAAGTTGACAAATGCAAGGCGAGACTAGTTGCAAAAGGCCATGCTCTAGAAAAGGGGATAGATTACACTGAAGTATTTGCTCCAGTAGCCAGATGGGATACCATTCGAACTTTGCTGGCTGTAGCAGCAAGAAATCACTGGAAAGTATTTCAGCTTGACGTCAAAAGTGCATTTCTGCACGGGAAAATAAGTGAAGATGTGTATGTATTCCAGCCACCAGGATATGAAGTAAAAGGAGAGGAAAACAAGGTCTATAAACTTGAAAAGGCTCTCTACGGCTTGAAGCAAGCTCCAAGGGCGTGGTTCAGCAGAATTGAAGGGTATTTCATCAAAGAAGGATTTGAAAAGAGCTGTTGTGACCATACTCTATTCATCAAGAAGCTTGAGAACTGCAAGATTTTGATTGTAAGTCTCTACGTTGATGATCTTATTTTTACAAGTAATGATCTTTTAATGTTGCAAAATTTCAAAGCTTCGATGAAAAATGAGTTTGAGATGACTGATCTTGGAGAGATGAAGTATTTTCTGGGTGTGTAAGTAAAACAGGACATCAGTGGAATCTTCATCAGCCAAAAGAAATATGCTAGTGATATTCTTAAAAGATTTGGAATGAGCAGTTGCAATGGAGTTAAGAATCCAATAGTTCCTGGAATCAAACTGTCGAAAGAGGAAGGAAACAATGCTGATGGAACCTTGTTCAAACAGATTATTGGGAGTCTTTTATACATAACAGTCACAAGACCCGATTTGATGTATTCTGTTTGTCTGTTGAGTAGGTTCATGGAAAATCCAAAAGAAGCACACATGCTAGCAGCAAAAAGAATCCTGAGATACATTCAGTCCACTGTTGATTTTGGTATTTTCTATGAAAGAGGTTGTACAACTGAAATGATGGCATACACTGACAGTGACTATGCTGGTGATATAGGTGATTGGAAGAGCACTTCAGGATATGTGTTTATGTTTAGTAGAGGAGCTGTGGCTTGGGCTTCTAAAAAGCAACCTGTGGTAACCCTGTCAACCACAGAGGCGGAGTATGTTGCTACCACTTCATGTGCCTGCCAATGTGTCTGGATGCAACGACTTCTGAAACAACTCACAGGCATTCAAGATGATTCAGTAAAGATTCTCTGTGATAATTCTTCTACTATCAAACTTGCTAAGAATCCAGTTTTCCATTGAAGAACTAAACACATTGATATCAGATTCCATTTCCTTAGAGATCTTATAAATGACGGGTTAATCAAGATGGAGTATTGTGGGAGCAATGAACAGCTAGCCGACATCATGACCAAACCATTGAAGCTTGATCAATTTGAGAAACTCAGAAAAGAGCTTGGTGTCAGGCGAAGTCCTGAATTAAACTAACATGTAGCTGATCAACATGTTTAGTTTAGGGGAAGGTTTTGTTAGTTATTTTGAATCAGTCTTAATAAGTTCCTAATTATTAGGAAATGGGTGTAGTTTGTTCGTACCTTTCCTATTCTTTTGCTTGTAATCACGTTTCCTGGTATTGTGAGAAACTTAGCTTTATTTCAGCATTTCAGTTTCTTTGTAAGGCTATTTAAAGCCACTGCTAGTTCATTTTCAATCAGAGAGACAGTTTGGTTGCTGCAACTAGTCTTTATATTTGTTCTTTACACTATGTATATAATAAGTACGTGCCTAGTTAAGTTTAAAGAGTCAACTTATTAATTATAAATGTTTCTCTTGATATTTATTATTATATTGAAATTTTGTATATTGACATATGTTATTATTTTTATTGTAAAAGACATTTTTATTATTTTAGATATTACTCATAATTTTATTTGATTAATTTTGACAATATTAATGTCAATTTTAGTTTATTTTATTTATATTTTTGGAATGTCACACATCCTCTTAAAATTGTCACATTTTTTGTTCGATTCCTTCCACAAGACAGCCTCGTATTAAATTTGGAAAAGTTTGTATAGATGTAAATCATTCATATTTTACCAATTCAATATCATTCACACAACTTTTCTTAATAATCGTATCTCCCCTTCATTTTTTAACGTTAGTGAGACGAAGATAATATATGTGTTTTTGTGTGTATTTAAAATGAAAATTTCAAGGTTGAGTTCAATTTAAGGATAATCTATGAAAACTCGTAAATCAATACATATATTCATAATTTATATTTTTACAGTTTTTTAGATTTTTTATTTAATCAACTTTTATAGTTCTGTATCATAAAAAACTGTGATAGTTCTATATTTCTTACTTCGTATTTGACAACTCGATCTTCGATTTCTGACGCGCACACACATTTGAATAAAATAGCTAAATATTTTGGGTCTGTTTACTAACAGGGATATTTTCCTGTTTACTGCTTCTGTTTTTCGTTCTCCAATTTTCTGTTTCTATTTTCTAGTTTTCCATTTTCAAATCTGAAAACATATTCATCAATTTTTTCACCCAGTTATGTGATCATCTAGAAGACTGACACGTTACTTCCCAGGTTACTAAATGGTGCTTATTGAGACTCGCGTTAATAAGCGACATATAAAATAAGCAATGTTATAAGATCATGTTTACTTCAAAAGGTTTAAAACAACGTTTAACATTAAAATGTCCAAAATAACCCTATACATATATAGACACACAAACATTCATGAATACAAATATATAATATAATATGTGGGGTCGATCACCTCGTACGTGTACTCATACTCCTAACCCCTACCCTGTCCCTATACCTCGTACCCCCACCCTACACCCAATTCCACACCCTTGACCCTTATCCCTACCTTACCACGATCTTACACTCTACCCATACTCCCCTAAAACCCTTCATACCCACCCATACCTACTCGTAGGAAGGAAGGTATGAGTGGGGTGGGCGGGGGCGGGAGTGGGGTAAGGGGTATGGGGGTGGGGTGGTAGTAAGGTATAGGGGTACGTGGTTGGGTGGGGTAATGGGTGGGTTAGGGTGGTGGTTAGGGGGTAAGGGTGGGGGTAGTGAATTGTTAAATGATTAATGAATTAAAAGTGATGCTAAATATTATACTCCGTAATTGTTAACCATTTAAAAGATGACACATCAACATTTTAAAACTCAAGTTTACTATATAAAACAATAGAATTAAAAATATTTTATGAGTCAAATAAAGAAAAAAATATATGAAAAATAGCTAAAATTGTCTTTTAAAATAACTTTAGTCAATACAGTCAGAAAAGTAACTTCAATCTTACTTTTTTATTATTACACAATTCAGCGTTCAAAATCAAAATTTACGTGTTTGATAAAAAGTTGACAGATAAGTCAATTGAGATCTTTCGATGCAATTGTTGGTTTATAATCGGGAGGGTATATAATTTAGTTGTAATATTAAGGTGTTGTACTATTGGAGTCCTGTTCACTTGTACGATTTTATAGTGTGGTTGCGGTTGGGTAATAGTGTGTTAGCTTCCAATTCAAATTAACATGCGACAACAAATTATTATCTTTCAAATACTATGTTAATATTTCAATAATATTAACAATTAACATGGGATAGAAAATCATAGAACAGTCTTTCAATTGTTCAAATAAGTGATGCATTTAGGATCAATATCATGTTGATAATAATTTGGTACCGTACGATGAGCGATAGATATATATATCATGTTGAATTAGGTGATCTATTTGATCGGTTTTTCTTGCATTTTAAGCGGTAGTGTTATTTGTGTTGTTAATACATACTGTAATATGTTGTTAATACAATTATAAGAGATTTTTTAACCCAATTTTGGTATATAAAATAATGGATTTTTGTATTTTTATATACAAATATATAATATTGATGTCATATGAAAAATATTTTTGATATATTTTTTGTTAAAATTGGATTATAAATATAAAAATTATATCACTTTAAAAAAGAGAGATTTTTTCTCGTCATTTTGCTCTAAATTAGTTGTAGTGCACAATTTTGAATTGTGGTGAACATTGAATTAATTATTTGTTTTAATCATAGTGATAATAGAATTTATATTGTCCAATAAGAATCTGACACATAATCGTTTTTTAACTCAAGTTTACTATATTGAATAAATGTTACTAAGCATAAAATTGTTAGACAAAGTGTGACCCAATTGCCCTGTCCACGTGTAGGTGTTTAGTTGGTCAAATCATGTCATCAAGTTTGAAATGTCACCCGATCAATCCTCATCATATACACGGCGTAGATCAGTTTCAAGTCTCAGGAATACCTGATATAAGACGAGACTCCGGCCAATTCACCGGCGACAATCAACAGAAAATGTCGAGATCGCGGATATTCTCAGCATTAGCAATCGTAGCTCTGTTTTTTTCATCGGCCTACGCCGACGACGTCGTCATTTTGACCGAAGACAACTTCGAGAAGGAGGTCGGCCAGGATCGCGCAGCTTTCGTCGAGTTCTATGCACCTTGGTGGGTATTCCTTCTCACTAATTTTCGATTTTAGTGTGCTCCTGTTTCGCAAAGCTTTTTAATGATGGGTGATACAGATTATATAAAACTCAGATTCGAATCCTCATTTTTTATAGTCGGTGCTATCCAGTTCTGAGCATTTCTTACTGATCTATGATTAATGAAACTGGTAGGTTTAGATCGGAAATTATAAGCTGCATGATCTGCGCAAGGAAGGGTTTTATAACATGTTCAATTGATTAATCAAAGATTGTTTTCCTCCATAAGTTGTATTCTAAAAACTGTTTTTTCTTCAAGTGTATGTGAACTCCATATTTTTTCTAGGACCAATGTCAACAAAAATGCTATTTTTAATTTAATGAACACTGAACAGTGAGACTCCGGGAATTCTTCAAATGAGTTCGTTGCTATGTTGGCGTTTTCAGTCCAGATTTCAAGCCCCTTTGGTGACTCTGTTTTTTGTCTTACGAGGTTGGTTGGCCAACTTTTTAGCCAACTTTTTAACCAAACACGTAACTTTTGATTTCGTGCGCTGAATTATGTAACAATAAGAAATGGTTGGAGTTACTTTTCTGGCTGTATTGGCTGAATTTAAGGTAGATATCATTTTAACTATTTTTTCATATAATTTTTTCTTTATTTTATTACTAAAATATATTTTAAATATAATGTATACATAAATAAGCAGAATCAGCCAATACAGCAAGAACTTCATATATTTCAGCCGATTAAGCCGATTAAGCCAATTTTGTGTTACCAAACAGGCTCTACATGTTGTACAAATTATCATGGTTTGTGTTAAGAGCTTTTTAGATCAGATGGTGTAAGTCATAAAACCCAATTTGAAAAAGCTCTCCAGAAAAGCATTTTGGAACAGGTTATTGTGGAAATTAAGCGAAAAGGCAAAAGTTCTTTTGATCATCCTAAAGTTTGTACATCATCTGGATTGAAATAAAATAATTATTTGTTCTATTCAAATAATTTATTACATCATTTGAAAGAAGCGGCTGTTTAAAAAACTGTGATGCTTCTCTTTCGTAGGAAAAGTTCAGCCATTTTTGGTTGGAATGTTTAAATTCTAGTCAGTTCCCATTGATTTAGTCTCACTTGGAATCTATGGTGATGGGCTGAAATGGCTGCAAGCTGAGGAAAAATAGTTGAGTTTGGAAGCTAGGATTGTAGCTTTTCGATTGAAATATTATTGTAGACCTCTTGTATCAAAATTAGGGTTAGTTTACTAGTTTATATTAAAAGCCTGTTGCATATAAAACAAAATGACCTTTAAAGTAATTCTATGTTTAAACTTTAAAGTCTGTTCATTCATATATAGTTTCTGCTTCAACATCTCCAAATCCAGCCAATCCCCTTAGATACATTAATATTAAAAATTTTGACATACTTTTTCAATGTTGTGCTAACATTATTAGAAGTGAATGTTATAAAATTTTGTTTGAATTGAAAAGTCAAAAGTAATTTAAAAATTTAGGTTTTATTCATTAATGTTATGGCAAAACTTAGTTTGCATGGCTCTGATAAAATACAGAGAAAAAAAATTGTCAACAATAATAGACTACATGAATAAACAATTATCAGTAATAATGTAATACTAGTATGCTTCAAGAATAATGAAATTTTGCACAACCTTTTTATTTTATTTACAATGAAATAGCTAGTAGCTAATTACTACTTCCTCCTTATAAATAGGTAATGTAAGAAGACCGGCGTATGTCCTTTTACACGTTCTAAAAACCAATAGTTAAATAATACTACCAAGTATTTCTCTGCACACAGTAACTAGATTTAACAACTAATAGAAACCATTAAACCACCATTATGACAATATCCTGTGTATTAATCCTCTGATTTATTCTTTTTAAATATGCTGTCAGGTGTGGACACTGTAAAAAGCTAGCTCCTGAATACGAAAAGCTTGGTGCAAGTTTCAAGAAATCGAAGTCCGCTTTAATTGCAAAGGTCAGTATTTTTACTGGGACGAAATTTTGAGCTCTATTCCTGTTTTCTGCAGCATAATAACAATTTAACATGGAGTACTAGTTATGACTTATGACTATTGATAAATGATAATTTGAGTCATTTAACTATGGCAGCATATATTTTTGTTTGTTGCTTCACTTAATGCTTACTTGGCAGGCTAAATGTTTACCGTTTTTATTAAGAATAAGATGATTTGGAAGTTTCTAATTAATGCTATAGGTGGACTGTGATGAACACAAAACTCTTTGTAGCAAATATGGTGTGTCTGGATACCCAACAATTCAGTGGTTCCCCAAGGGGTCTCTCGAGCCAAAGAAGTGAGTGTTAGCATGTGGTTACTTTCCTGTTAGTAATATTTGAATGCTTTTCTCGTACATTTCTCCTTTGAAATATTGAAATGCAGCATCTATTGTTTCATAGGTATGAAGGTTCACGAACGATAGAGGCACTTGTAGAGTTTGTTAACAGTGAAGCAGGTAATTTCCTTTTGCATTTGAAATCAGTTACTATGTAATGCAATAATTAGAAAATCAATCCATTTAACAGTGATTATTCATTCACTTTAAACAATATTGCTTTTTGTGAAGAAGTTTTGCATTAAAGCTTGTATCTGAACTCCATTGACTTGTTTAATAGTGTATTGGTTACTTCAAATGTAATTGGTATATCATAATTGGATGCATTTCACACTGTGCTGATACAATGCACTTATTTCTTACACTTGATAGTTGTATAAACAAAGTTATTCCCATCTTGTTCTACATGATCATATTGTAGTACACAATAAAATGCCCTAAGTTACTCTTATGTTGCAGTGAACGCTTTTAGATTCACAGTTCTCAATAAAGTTTTTATTATGTTCAGGAACAAATGTTAAGATTGCTGCAACCCCGTCAAATGTTGTAGTGTTAACTGCTGAAAACTTCGACGAGATTGTCCTGAATGAGAAAAACAATGTTTTGGTAGAGTTTTATGCACCATGGTGAGCATATTCAGTTTGGATGTTTCCCTCAACTGAAACATTGTATCCTTCATATTATGTTTGCTTAATATATAGGCAATGCCTTTCAAACTGTTGAGAAATACTGAATTAGCGCTATGTCAACTGTCAAGTAAAACTGATTATTTCCCCCCTTCTCATCTGATTATCTTGACCTTCCGCAGGTGTGGACATTGCAAACAGCTTGCTCCAGTAAGTGCCTTGCTAGCTTAGCTCTTAGTTTCTTACAGGTACTATATACAATTGCTTCTAAGATTATTAAAAATTTATTTGTGGTTCCTCTATGATGTGTAGACTTACGAAAAGGTTGCAACGGCTTTTAAACTGGATGAAGACGTGGTCATTGCTAATCTCGATGCTGACAAGTTCAAGGATCTTGCAGAGAAGTATGTCCTCTTTTGCATGCCTTTGGGTGGGGTAGGGGGTGTTGCATGTTGCCTAGAATGTCGTGTTTTATACTTTTATTGAATGCTCCATCCGCCCCAAAATAAGGTCAACTTAACTTCTGATACTTAACTTCCTTTTACTCTTTGATTGTACATGCATAAATACTTAGTGAAAAATAATTAAAATACCCCAAACTTTGAAGGGGTGTGAGGTAAGCACCCCAAACTTGCATATGTAATTTAAATACCCCAAACTTTCTATAAAAAAGTTATTTTAGCACCATTTGTCATGTATTATTTCTTTCAAAAATGTTAATTTTTGGTGTTAATTTCATAATTTAAAATATTTTAGCATTCATAAAGATACAATTAACATTCTAAACTTCCATTGTAAAATAAATAATACTACACCCACTCTATATAATTGTAACATTTTTAATTTGCTATTTTAAATTATGCAATGAAGTGATGAACACCATATATTTACATTTTTGAAAGAAATAATATATGACCATTGTGCTAAAGTAACTTTTTAGATAAAGTTTAGGGTATTTAAATTACATATGAAAGTTTGGGGCGTTTATCTCACACACCTTCAAAGTTTGAGGTATTTTAATAATTTCTCCCAATACTTATTATACTCGAACTAATTTGAGTGTAGTTTCTACATATGCAAATTTTAGTCCTAAAATTCCCCACATTTGTCCTCCGAGTACTGTCAGATTGACACTTTTAGTCCTTCCACTGTGCAATAGGTGGAGGACTAAAAATGTCACTATGACTTTGACACAATTGGTACATGAAATGGTGCTCTCTTCCCACTACACAGGTATGGTGTAAGTGGTTTCCCCACATTAAAATTCTTCCCAAAGTCAAACAAAGCCGGTGAAGATTATGAAGCAGGGCGAGACTTGGATGACTTTGTAAACTTCATTAATGAGAAGTGTGGCACTAACCGTGATGCCAAAGGGCAACTTACTTCTAAGGTTAGTAGCATAGGGGCATGCAACAATTCATGTTAAACTTGTTTCATTCACATCCTTAAGTTTTTAAAACTATTGTCATGGTTCAGGCTGGAGTTGTTGACGACCTGGTTAACCTGGTCAAGGAGTTTGTGAGTGCTGATGATGCAGAGAAGAAGGCTGTACTCGGTAAACTGGAGGAAGAAATTGAGAAGCTGTCAGGTCCTTCTAGAAGGTACATAGTGTCTGCAAACCTTATTCAATTACTGGTGAACTTATTAGTTAGACAATGTGGTGATTTATGACCTTGGCTCCTTGCTATATCTCTTTTTGCCCCAGATATGGCAGTATCTATGCAAAAGCTGCCAAGAGTTGCATGGATAAAGGAGTTGACTATGCCAAGAATGAAATTCAGCGGTTAGAACGCATACTTGCCAAGGTATGTTATATCGACAGTTGCCATTTCAAGTGTGCCATATTATTTGGAACTGCTTATATCTGGTCCACATATTAAGCCTTTTTTCCCTTCTTTTCTCGTGTGGACTTGTTAGGAAAAATTAAAAAATGATTTGCTATAGTTGCCATTTCAAGTCTTTGACTAGTTTCAGTTGTATTATGGTATGGGGCAATGAATGGGGGGCTCAAGGTTTTTTTGTACTAGTTTTTGTAGAACTGCCTTTGTTCATCTTTCCTTTGATTAAGTACTACGAGTATAATAATTTGTCATTATAAAAACAAAACTAGATTCGGTAGTGATATTGTAATTGAAAGTACATGTGCTGAACACCATTCTCACGAATATTTCTTGGATAATTATTATATGTGCAGTCAATTAGTCCTGCGAAGGCTGATGAGTTCACTCTAAAAAAGAACATCCTTTCTGCCTTTGTTTGAAAATGCCAAGGGAGTTTCCTCTGGTTACCCACGCTGGACACCTGCGGTTTTGATTGCTGGAACGTCCTCCCAAATTTCAGGAATATAATGTCCCGCTCTCTCCTGCCCTCCCTTTTGTTTTCCTTTTCCTTGATGTATGAGGCCAATTTTTATATTTGACCTTCTCTTGACGGTCTAAACATAGGAGTAGACTGTTCCAGTTACGTGCTATAATGGTATGGTTTTCACGCTTAATTATCATTAATTATATCAATTTCTCTGAATCCGTGTGATGAGACAACCTATGATGCAAGGACACGTGTCACATCAGACGTTTTACGTGTCATATCGGTGTCCAACATGACACTTCAATGCTAAATATGTTGAGAATGTAAAAAAGGATGACATCTCATCCTTGTTCCGGTTGAGAGGATGTAAATTTGACTATAATTCCAATGTGACAGATAGAAAGTGGGGCTCTGTCCCCGGCACTTGCAGAAGTCCTATGCATTTTTAGCATAGTAACCACTTATCGCAGTTGTTGGGATTCGAATCCGGTATCTAACCCTTGTGGCATTCCCTTGCTACCATTTGAGCTACGCCCACCGGTACGAAAATGTAAAAAATGTAGGGAAGATGATCTGGAATCTTGATAGCATGAAAGATAAAGGTGAACTTGAATTTATAGATAATATTTGAGGGTTTTGTAGGAATTTAAAATACTGAACTTAAGCACCATTTTAATTTGGCTTTTTCTTTATTTTAGTTTGGATGTACTCATGTACATATTTTTATGGGAAAAATACCCTAATATTACTAAAACTCACGACTTTTTCAAAAATATGACCATATATATTTTTAATCTTATACATGACTAAATTGAACATCACATATTCACATTCATGATACGGCTGGAATTAGTAGAGCAAATAACCTATCATGCCCCCATGCCTATATAATTAATCCCTTATTTTTAGGAATAGTAATTAATACACTCCAATGCACAACGTTCCCCCCTCGCCAACTAAGGAAACACTACAAAAAAGGCAATCGATTGAGAAGCATGTGTCGATAATTAAGATTGTAATAAATGTTGACTGGGTAATGTCACAGACTTATTCGAGAGTCGTGACAGTAATCATAGACAATAATCGAAGGACAATAAAGAAATGAGCAATAAATTAACGCATCGAATAGGACAGTAATATTTATTATGATGACAGTTAATGACATAGGCATTAAGTTAAAGATAATAAATGTATTATATTAATCATTAGTAAATTCCTCTATTCTATATATGATCCATAAACGAAATGGGCAGTAAATACAAAAATGGAAGTAAATATGTTAGAGGGCAATAATTCTGTAAGAAGGTAGTATAATGTGTAGTACGTATAATGATAATAGTGACTGATATCTATTATTATTATTACTTCTATTATTATTATTATTATTATTATAAATATATATATATATATATATATATATATATATATATATATATGTGTGTGTGTGTGTGTGTGTGTGTGTGTGTGTGTGTGTGTGTGTGTGTGTGTGTGTGTGTGTGATATTAAGAACAAAAGGGCAATAAGTTTGGTAAAGGAGTAACACTAGTAAATAAAACAATAAATGGACAGTAAATTGGTTTAGTATGACATTTATGGAAATCAGTAAGTAACGAGGTGTCGAGGATATCCAATACTTAATTAGAAATATAGTTATTTAATAATACATAATAATTATGAGCCAGGCAGTTACCATATTTTTAGGATTATTATAATGATGAGCCATGCACTTGCCATATTACTAGAATTTCTATTTATTAGAAGGGATTGCCATAGATATCTATCCAACTAATTAGGAAGACGAAAACATGAAACTACTTCCCGTTTTAATCTCGTTAGGAGGGCAATCGTGGAATTAAAAACAAAATTAAAACAATAATTAACCATGCACGTATTAAAGTAGGAAATAAACTGATGGAGTCATATATTGGGAAATGAGAAGTGTTTTAGTCATATGACTATATGAGAGATAATTTTCTCTATTTTTATCAATATTTTACAAAGTAGCACTTTCAAATTGAAAATAAATAGTAAAACTATTTCCTTAAAAATTGTTTATCCACAATATAAAGTACTTTTACATATTTGTATATATCAACATATTAGACTTATATTTTTAATATTTATAAATATATCCTAGTGCCACGAGTCAAAGTTAATGGGTTAAGGGTTAAGACATAAAGTCGATGCCATAAGCTTTTCAAGTAATTTCTTAGCATTTGGTACTAATTTTTTGAAGAAATACTTATTTTTAACAACTAATTACAATTGAATAAAGTATTTAAATGTAAGTCTATTTTAGAGTTGGCTTAAATAGGCGACACATTTTACTTTCGGTGCCTGTACATTTTTTATTTTTATTTTTTATTTTTATCATATACATTTTACGTATTTTCTTTTTAGCCCATCTATAACTTCGAGACTGCCCCATTTAGAAAACAGTTACTCCCTCCATCTCATATTTATCTTCATACTTACTATTCACATGGTCAACTCAAATTACTCTAAATCTTTTACTTTATATATCAAATTTTTATCAAACTTAAATTTTCTTGATCAGACTTTGTAGCGGATTTAATGTAGTTTCTGAATATGTAAATTTAATTTACTAAAATTAATCTGAGTGTGAACAGGGATCAAGTTGTTTTATCGTCAGTCAAGCATCATAAACTGAACTACGAAGATAAATGTGGGACGGAGGGAATATTATAGTTGAATAAATCTACTAGCATCTTTTAAATTCACCCTTTTATATATTTTTGAGAAATGTGAGAGTTTTTTTATAAAAGCTAAAATGAGAGTTAGAATAATGTAAAATGAATTAATCACATTGAAAAAATGTTTTAACATCCTTTAAGAATATAAAATTACATATTTTATGGATGATACGACAAAGACTGTTGGAAAAATGTGTTAAAAATTGCATTAAATGGTCATTTTGGGGAAATTATTTGAGTGGGGTCCACTTCCGATTTGGGTCGGGTCAAAGTGGTTTCGGATTGTCCTTGTTAAGGGCTTCAATTCGATATGTGGTACACTCAAAACGGATAACGGGTGAATGAGAAATTGATTCTCGAAGTTCACTCGTTGAAATGGAAAAACTGGGAAAAATGATGAGTTTCTAGAATGTTTTATCTCACACCGAAAAACTCAAGGGATTTTCACCCCCTTATAAAGGGAAGCCTCTTTTAAGGAGTTAAGATTCCTAAAGGGAAAGGCTCTCTCTTACGCGCAGGGGAGGTGCCGATCAAATCCCGAAACGGAGAAGAAAAACCGCGACTCGTGTGCGCGGGCGACCTGCGGACATGAATGCCGTCCAGAAACCCTCGAAGGGGTGTTCTGCTGGCTTCGGACAGAAACCCTCCAAGGGGTGTTCTGCTGGCTTCGGACAGAAACCCTCCAAGAGGTGTTCTGTTGGCTTCGGACAGAAACCCTCCAAGGGGTGTTCTGCTGGCTTCGGACAGAAACCCTCCAAGAGGTGTTCTGTTGGCTTCGGACAGAAACCCTCCAAGAGGTGTTCTGCTGGCTTCGGACAGAAACCCTCCAAGGGGTGTTCTGTTGGGGTCTTCTGTCGCGCATTTCTTCCGTTACAACAATTAATGCCCAACGTTCTTCTCTTTTAATGCTGCGTTAAATGGACAGTTTATGGACGATTCAATGCCCAACGGACTGGTCATTGATGTCCAACGTTCAGGTCCATTAACACCCCATTTAACACACAACAAATACTCCTATAAATAGCTGGCAGGTGGTTTGCAACAAAACAACGCATAGCGCACAATACATTCCTCACGTATTCTTGAGCTAAAAACACCTACAGCTACTCTGCAAAACTCCTTCTGTGTTCATACTTGGTTCTCGTTCGCTGGAACTCTTGTTTGTGTGCTCAAACATTAGTTCGTAGTCATCGTATCCTGGGAAACGATTGTTGCAACGCTCCTAGCACCGTGGGAGGCAACAAATACGTTTTAAGGAAATCGTGCGTAGCACGAGCTTTGACTAATTCTGCTTCATCTCCTTTCTTGTTTTTCTCTAGTCATTTTATTTAATTAATTTATTTTAATTAATTTTCTTTATTTTCCGAAACACACCCAACAATCTTAAAACGTATTTGTTGAGCTTGTATCATACGGATACAATCTTAAAACGTACTTGTTGAGCTTGTATCATACAGATACAATCTTAAAACGTATTTGTTGATTGTTCTACTATGGTAAACAATCTTAAATCGTAGTTTGTCACTTTGGTGAACGAACTTATTTTTTTGTGTTTTCGAAAAAACGTTAAAGAACGAAAATGACTTCTCAAGAAAACGAGATTGGTGTTGGGCCGAATGTTCTGAACGACAATCACTCTGAAAGTGGAGCACCGGTGAACAATGCTTCACAACGCGGTGCATCTACTTTGGCCAACCAAAGGGCTATCCCTATTGTGACCGTACCAAGCAACTCTGTGGAGAAACCCGAGAAATTCAACGGGTTAAACTTCAAGAGGTGGCAGCAAAAGATGCTATTTTACCTCACTACTCTCGGTCTTGCTAGATTCTTGACCGAAGATGCGCCGGTAGCAACCGGGGGTGAGGTGGATGCGCAATCTTTCAACGCGGTTGAGGCATGGAAGCATTCGGACTTCCTTTGCCAAAACTATGTGTTGAACGGGCTGCATGATGCTTTGTACGACATATATAGCAAACTAGCTACGGCTAAGGAGCTATGGAATGCTTTGTACGACATATATAGCAAACTAGCTACGGCTAAGGAGCTATGGAATGCTTTGGACCACATATATAAAAGCGAGGATGCCGGCGCAAAGAAATTTGTTGTTGGTCGATTCCTTGACTTTAAAATGGTGGATTCGAAGACGGTCTTGAGTCAAGTTGAGGAGATGCAAATGATCTTCAACAAAATTCGAGATGAAGGAATGACAGTTAGTGAGTCTTTCCAAGTGGCATCAATTATCCATTTATTGCCGCCGGCTTGGAAGGATTTCAAGAACTACCTTAAGCATAAGCGAAAGGAAATGAACTTGGAGCAATTGATCCTCCGTCTGCGGATTGAAGAGGATAACCGGAAGAACGATGGGAAACTCCCAATTGTTCATGACGCCAAGGCAAACGTGGTGGAGCATGCAAAAGGCTCCAAAACTAAAAATAATGGGAAGAGCAAGCTCGGTCCCAAGGGAGGCGTTTCCAAGACAAAGTTCAATGGAAAATGCTTCAATTGCAATAAAAACGGACACAAGTCCTCGGATTGCAAGGCACCACGGAAGAAGAAAGACTCCCAAGTCAACTTGGTGCAAGGTGGGCAAAAGGATGAAGACATCATCCTTGCGGCTGTGGTGACCGAGGTCAACCTCGTTGGATCTAATTCCAAGGAGTGGTTTGTGGACACCGGTGCAACCCGGCACATTTGCTCAAACCGGGAGTTATTCACAACTTTTGAGCCATCAAATGGTGAGAAAGTGTGGATGGGTAACTCGGCTCATTCCGCGGTTGAAGGCGTGGGCAAGGTGGTCCTGAAGATGACTTCGGGCAAAGAGCTGACTCTCAACCAAGTGTTGTTTGTTCCGGAAATACGCAAAAACCTGATTTCCGGTTCGT